GCTATCTCTTTCTTTCTCCCAAGTGCATGCTTCGCGCTATCTCTCTCTTTTACATGCATATTTAAATACTTTAAATAGTTGTCTGTGGAAACATGCTAACTTTTGTTTTCTTATCAAGAGCTGAAAGTAAGCGTTCTTCGTAAGTGATACATCTCCTACTCTAAAATGTTTAATCGAGACAATGTCTGCCCTGTCGTGGTTGTCATAACGTTTCGAGCAGTGAGTGACGAAAAGTTTAAGTGAAATTTGAAAAATGCCGTCGTTGATTGAATTGGTGCTGCAAGGGGGTCGACCGAACGCGTCGTGGTGGGCGAAGGACCTGGCGATGGGGCTATTGCGGGTTTTGCTGAATCTGGTGTGTTTCCAAAGAGTAAGTAATATTTGTTTTATATTAATTATTTATAATATATTAATTATTTATAATAAATATTATAATTCGATTTAATTTAATTTATAGTATCAATATACGAGCGAGATCCAGATCCCTGGATTTGTCAATATTAAACGCCGGCAACTTGTACGAGCGCTGCGTCGGCACGAGCGCGAGTTCCTCGAGGACGTATGGGAGGATAATGGCCCGGACGGTCTTCATTTAGACCTAAGACGTCTCTTCGGGCTCGAACCCTATGAGGAACCCTATGTGATGGAAGAATCGTGGAACGAGCCTCCGAGCAAGAGGTCAAAGAATTAATTGTAAGTATTTTTTTAAAATTTTATAATATTTAAATTTTTATACTGATAAGACTTACATTTTTCTGTTTTAGGTGGAGCGTCACCTTTAAATTTTTTTATAATTATTATGGATATATATTTTATATCATTATTATTATTTTAAATTTTATATTTTACACACACACACAATTATATGATATAAATATTTCGAATAAACTTATTATTATTATATTAAAAAATATCGATCATTTCTGCGCCTTCTTCTTTCCTTTTCCCACATGCATACCTCGCATTATCTCTCTCTTTCTCCGTCCCAAGTGCATGCGAACGTCATCCTTTTCCCACGCCAATGCGGACGCTATCCTCCTCCTACACGTGTGCGTGCCTCGCGCTATCCTTCTCGCACCGCCTTGCGAACGCCGCATCCTCCACGTGCATGTCTCTCTCTCTCTCTCTCTCAAGTGCATGCGAATGTCATTCTTTTCCCACGCCAATGCGGACGCTATCCTCCTCCTACACGTGTGCGTGCCTCGCGCTATCCTTCTCGCACCGCCTTGCGAACGCCGCATCCTCCACGTGCATGTCTCTCTCTCTCTCTCTCTCAAGTGCATGCGAATGTCATTCTTTTCCCACGCCAATGCGGACGCTATCCTTCTCCTACACGCGTGCATGCCTCACGCTATCTCTCAGATCATGAAGAAGTGATGTACAAGGAATGGGATTTTGATATATAAAATGCAGCTGACGTCTCGTTATGAACCGCATTGAAATACTCGAGGTAATGTAAGTATCTATTTTTTTAAAATTTTATAATATTTAAATTTTTATACTGATAAGACTTACATTTTTCTGTTTTAGGTGGAGCGTCACCTTTAAATTTTTTTATAATTATTATGGATATATATTTTATATCATTATTATTATTTTAAATTTTATATTTTACACACACACACAATTATATGATATAAATATTTCGAATAAACTTATTATTATTATATTAAAAAATATCGATCATTTCTGCGCCTTCTTCTTTCCTTTTCCCACATGCATACCTCGCATTATCTCTCTCTTTCTCCGTCCCAAGTGCATGCGAACGTCATCCTTTTCCCACGCCAATGCGGACGCTATCCTCCTCCTACACGTGTGCGTGCCTCGCGCTATCCTTCTCGCACCGCCTTGCGAACGCCGCATCCTCCATGTCTCTCTCTCTCTCTCTCTCTCTCTCAAGTGCATGCGAATGTCATTCTTTTCCCACGCCAATGCGGACGCTATCCTTTTCCTACTCGTGCATCCCTCGCGCTATCTCTCTCCCACACATTGCGGACGCCTCGCGCTATCCTTCTCGCATCGCCTTGCGAACACCGTATCTCGCATCATCCACGTGCATGCATCGCGCTATCCTTCTCCTACACGCCTGCATGCATCGCGCTATCTCTCTCCCAAAGGCATGCGGACGCTATCCCTCTCCCACACATTGCGAACGCCTCGCGCCATTCTTTTCCAACGTGCATGCAAACGCTATCCTTGTCTTACGCTCATATGGACACTTCGCGGTATCCTTCTCGCACGCCCATAGAATATCATTAGCGCTATCCTTCTCTTACACATTGCGGACGCCTCGTGCTATCTCTCTCACACCTACTCGCGTGCGTTCCCTCTTTCCCGCGGAACCCTCGCCAATCGGTTTCGCCGCGGTCCCCCTCCCCCTCTCCGCGGACCCCTCGCCTGCCGGTTTCGCCGCGATCCCCCGCTTCCCCGCGGACCCCTCGTCAACCGGTTTCGCCGCGGGTCCCCCTCCCCTTTTCCGCGGACCCCTCGCCTACCGGTTTCGCCGCGGTCCCCCCGCGTGACGTCATAACCCCCGCGCCGGTTTCCCCTCGCCCCTCACCCCCCTCAGAGGACCTGGCTTAGAACCCGTATAGATACTCTATTGCTTTAATATATCATTTTCATTCGTGATTTTCAGATTGGTCCTTATTTCCTACCGCCACATTTAAATGGGGAAATATATTTAAACTTCCTCCAAAACGAGTTACCCATTCTCCTCGAAGATGTTCCTCTTAATGTAAGAAATCAACTCATCTTCCAACATGACGGGGCTCCTGCGCATTTCGCTCGCCGGGTTCGCGAATATTTAAACGCGCATTATCCGGACAGATGGATGGGTCGAGGTGGCCCAATCATTTGGCCGGCGCGATCGCCAGACTTTAATGTTTTAGATTATTTTGTATGGGGTCACATTAAAAATTTAGTCGAACACAGGCGTGATGGTACAGAAGCTGAAGTACGAGAAGCAATTCTCGCAGCTTTTAATACCATCACGCCGCAAATGGCGTATCGCGCGACGCGCAATATGACTCGAAGAGCCGAACTCTGTTTACGAGAACGAGGAAGGCACTTCGAACAATTTTTACATTAAGATATGAGAGTGGATTAGACCTATTAGGGATACCACTTTAACAAAAATGCACTGTGTTATCTACCGCAAGGTGGTGTGGAAACGATAGCATAATACTTCCTATCAGAGTTGGGCAAAAATGTAATCTAATTAACAATTACAAATTCCAATTACAATGTAATTCTTAATGCAATTAACAATTATAAAATGTAATTATTAATTGTATTAAGAATTACATTGTAATTGAAATTTGTAATTGTTAATTAGATTACATTTTTGCCCAACTCTGCTTCCTCGCCGCGCGCGCGAGAAAGAGAAAGAGAGAGTAAGAAAAAGAGAGAGAGAAAGAGAGAGAGAGAATAGTTCGAAATGCGTGGCTTCAGCGTTCGTTCGTACGTAGCCGTATAGAGCGCCCCTCCCACCGCTTCGCCGCGCACCGCGAATTATGGGACACTCTGTATATGTGTAACGATGCAAACCCCATCGTTACCCGGCAGTTGACCAGCCGGAAGTCTGCCGCCCGGCGAGCACCAGCCGGGCAGGGGCAGAGGCGCTAAGCGCCCTTTTTTATACTCGTTACGAGATATCTGAGATCACCGTACAGCCGTTATACGGCTGCCGTTACAGCCCGTACCGATACCGAGAACCGCCGAGCGCTTCCGAAAAGCACCGAGCGCTCAACCGCCAAAACACCGCGTCGTTTTCCCGCCGGAAGGTAACGGCGCGTTAACCGTTAATTACCGCCGCCGAAAACAACGCGTTGTTATCCCCATCATAGGGAAACGACGCGGTTACCGTTATACTCCCGGTATTAAAAGGCAGCCGAAATTGACCTCAGCACCAAATCGGTACCTGAAGCCTCTCGAGCAGTATGCTCGAGATACTCCCACATATCCGATCCTTTACACTTCGCAGAAACGACGGAACGTGGGGTTGACGAGTTCGCAGCCTCCGCCGAGCATTCTCGGTTTCCACGCCGCCTACGGATCCTCGCCAACCTTTCGATCGATTTGACGAGAGCAGAGTGTTCGCCGCTCTCTGAGATCGCCGGTCTAACATCCGACCGCTCCAGCCAGACGGACAGTGGGTTTGCGAGTTCGCTACCCCGTCGAGCTTACTCGACTCCGACTGGCAAACCTTAAGTCCGCGTGCGGAATAGGGACGGAGAGTTCTCCACCCGATAGAGGGTATCCGATTTCCGACCACATCCCCGAACATCTGGGAATCCGTGACTAAACGTATCTAACACCGACGCATCAATAAAACACAACTTTGCCGTCCGCCTGAATTAATCGCCGCGCCGAAATACATGTCGCGCCGTGTATCATCTATTATATTCAGCGCCCGTCAAAATAAACACGGCCTTACCGTACACACGCCGATTAGCCCGGTTTCTTATACGTCTCGCGCGCCGTCACAACAAACACGGCGTCGCCATACGATTTATATACAACACTCGCAGAATTACCCGCGCGCGCATACATTGTTACATAACGCGCCGAATAACTATCGCGCATTTATTATAACTTGCGCCGTGTCATCCGCCGCGCGCCCGCTACGCGGGATTTAACCGACCGTTTACATTTGTACATTGACTATTGCCGAAGGAGGCAAATAAACAGACCATATTACATCACGCGTCTCCACCCTTTCACGATCCTTGATCCCAACCGAACTATCCGATCTCGCAAAAGCGGCCGTTACATATGCTCCCACGGCAGAGGCGCTACAACGATGAAGTCTCTATTACGGCCGATGAGGTTCGATCCCTAACTCAACAATGTTATAGGGCAATTAAAGAGTGACGACATAACATTTGTCATCGGCGATTTTATGCCACGATTGGGCATGGAAGAAGATTAGACTTAGTTGTTAATTTTGGTCTTGGTGTTAGTAACTCGTGTGGCGATGAATTATTTCATTGTAAGCAATACTTGGTTTCAATTACCGAAAAGTCGTCTTTACACTTGGACCTCACCTTTAGATCAAAGAAGTGATGGTGTCATAAACAATCAAGTAAATTACATTTTAGTTAAGAAGAGATTCAGAAACATTGTTAAAAGAATGTCGACGTATTCTGGCTCTGATATTGGCTCTGATCATGAGTCTTTGGTTGCAAATCTACAGCTATGACCAAAGAAAATAAAGCGATCAACAAATTGTAGCCGTATAGATCTTCCAAAATTACGTAATAAACATCTGAGAAATGAAGTCGTACTAGATCTAAATAGAAGTTTAAAGAGAATATCCATAAGTGTAGACACTGATATTGAGGTGCAATGAAAACAGATAAAAGAAAATATCAAGAACATTTGTGAGACTCATTTAAAACCACTTCCAGTACATTGCAAGCAAAAATGGATGACACCTGACATATTGCAATCGATGGAATTGAGAAGAAGACAGACCCAGAATCCTCCAGAATACAAAAAACTACATAAACTAGTGAGAAAGGAAATTAGAAAAGCTAAAAGCGAGTGGTTAACAAGATAAGAACTCGAAGAATTGAACCAGAATCATGACTTTCACAGTGTCCATCAAAAGATAAGAGAGCTTACTGATATTATAGTTATAAAACAAGAAAATCAATTACTTTATGAGACGATCAAAACAGACAAGTGATTGATGAGAATGAGATTAAGCAAATTTGGAAGAACTACATTAATCAGTTCTTTGATGATGATGATAGACGTGAAAACATTTCAAGCCCAACTTGTACCGAAGACTCAGAAATATTAAGAGAAGAGGTGCGATAAAACATGCTAGAAACAGGAAAGCGTTTGGTCAATATATCTATTGAAATTATTAAATTAATAGATGATGATAACTTAGGAATAATAATTAAATTTGTAACGAGGCATCCCACCATCGTTACGAAACCGTACCCGGCCGCCGATCCGCCGGAAGTCCGCCGCCCGACGAACACCGGTCGGGCAAATGCGGAGGCGCCGAGCGCCCATTTTTAAACGATAACAGAAACACGCGTTTATTAAACCGTCGTTAGGCGCGCGTAAACATCTCGAATCGATGACGCGTTCGGGTAACCGACCAGACCTGTACCGAAAATACCCGAGCCGCGCGCGCCGCTTCGAGATATTACCGTTAGAACAATACGCGAATTACGCAGACGCGCGCGCCGGAGAATTAGTATAAATAGAGCGCGTTTCTGATTATCGAGACCAGATCCTCTGATCCGCCAGCGCCTGTAAGACGCCTGAGCTAATTCCGAGATCCTTAACCGCTCACCAGTGAAAGAACCACGGGGTTGGGAGTAATCGACCCCGCCGGGAGTTCTCGGCCCCTCGCTAGCTTTCCGTCCACCGTGTGTATCAGCATTATTCTAGTGGCAGGGAGTTCTATGCCACCGACGGGATTCCTCGTCGGCCGATACATTCCTGATTCCGCCACCCGCGATCCAGATACGCGAATTGCAAGTCGACAATTACACGTACGGACAGACCGGTAGCCACCGCCATTGACGCGCCCACGCGCCATTATTACGGGCACGATAAGTCCCGCGCCGAGGGCCGACCTGCGCCCTACCGCGACACCGATCGACATCCGAAATCGATACCCACGTCGAAGGACCGCCCACCGCCCACCGACGCGGCCGCAAAGGACCACCCGACCGCTAACGGCTCCTGCCGGATTTACGCCGCGCGATCAAGAATCGATACTCGTACGCATCGCCAAACTCGCGAATCGCGCTGCGTGCAATCGCGGTGCATTGCATGCCCCCTCCGGCATTGCATACTCTCACACCGACAGTATACATTGTACACTTACTCACATACATTATACGTACTCGCACCTATAATTTATACGTGCTCGCACACATACATTATACGTACTCGCACATCTATATTATACGCACTCGTCACTATCACTCATCTCGCGCGCACACACACATACACACCTCGTACACCTATACATACCCTCACGCTGTACCAACACACATTTACATGCAATAAAGTACATTTCTACCAAACATCAATTCGCATTCGTGTCTCGATACCACTTTCACGAACCCAGGATCCCGACCGAGTTATCCGTCGCCCGCCTCGCGAAAGCGGCTTGTTACAAATTATTTAACAACATTTATAAATCTGGGAAACTGCCACAAGACTGGCTGTTGTCAACTTTTGTTGCAATACCGAAGAAAACATTTTAAAACAATGCAAAGACTATCGGCATATTAGTCTTACGAATCATGTTTTAAAATTGTTCCTACGTATAATATATAAGAAATAAGTGTGAAGCTGATTTTGATGACACTCAATTCGGCTTCAGGAAGAGTCTCGGTATGAAGAAAGCATTGTTTGGTATTATTGATATTGGTAAAAATGTTGTGATCAAAGAAAAGACATTTGCATGCTTTATAGACTATAAAAAAGCCTTCGACCGTATATAACACTACAAATTAATTGATATACTGAGAAATATTAATATAGACGACACAGATGTAAGAATAATTCAAATCTCTATTGGAGTCAGAAGGCTGAAGTAAGAATTGGTGGAATGCGTACTGAAGACATTGATGTGAGAAAGGAGTCGGGCAAGGTTGTATTCTCTCGCCACTTTTGTTTAATTTTGTAACACGGTCACCTCGCTCGACGCTCGGATCGGCTCGTCGGTGTCCGGGTTCGAGAGGAGGGGAGACTCAAGCTTGCGGGAACATAGGTGCAGAAAAGATAGTTTATTTAGATAAAAGTAAATCTATACAGAGTAGTGTGCAAGGTTAGGCGATGTCGGTCAGCGTACTGTCGATGGCAAGCTGGTGCCAAGGCGCGGGGCGGCGTGCAGCGAGACGCGCGAAGCGGTCGGCGTGAAGCGGCGTGCAGCGAGAAGCGGGCACGGCTTGATATCTACGAGGGTTTTATCTACACGCGGGTCAATTATTACGGCGCGGACTTGTCGGGCGGACTTATAGCTGACAGGCTTATTACTAGCAGGCTTATGGCTACGGCGCAAGCGGACTTATAATTAACCGACTTATTACTAGCAGGCTTAGGGCTACGGCGCGATATTTACATGCACTTAAGAGCTAGGGTTAGGTTGTGTCCGGACAAAACAAACGAGATGGAGAAATTCATACAGAGTGCAGGTTTCCCTACCTTTATTATACGGTTGCCAGTTCGTTTCATCTCCAACGAACAAGGTATTCCTTGACCAACGGCTCGTCAGGATGGCCACTGGACAGGTTACTATGCGTCAGGACTACGCAATTTGTCCAACGTCTAGACAGTTGGACGAAATCCCTCTTTCACTTCTAATCCTTTTCTTTTTGTTTCAGGTCGCCGCTGGATTCCCCGGATCAACGCCCAAGGACTGCTAGACTACTCGCTGGATATCTCTGGATCGACGCTTGGACACAGGTAAGGATTTCACGGACTCGAGGTAAGTTAATAACTGTTACACTGATTTTAATGTATAAATATATAAAATATATATGTATATAAAATATAAAATATTTAAGCAAGCTTCTTCTTTTTACAGACTTTATTACCGTCGCGGTTCTCCACGACTCGGAAATTACTATTATCCGCAAACTAATCATTAAAATGAACTTAACACCCTTAAGCTAATTATCACGGCTTATAGTGGGAATATATTTCCTTAATACTTTGCCTTTTGTCTATCGCGTATCTCTAGTTCACAGAAATTTTTTAATTTTGCGAGACAATTTTTCAGCACCGTCGGATGTTCGCAAAAAGGCCTCGAGAGCTCTTCCGTACGGCCTTTTATACCGCTACCTCACTACGAAGACTCTCTCTCTCTGAGCATCCCCACTACCGTCCGCCGCTCGGCGGCTCAATGCTCGAGCATGCGCATTTCCATTTTTCCCCAGTAATTACTAATATCGTGTATAAATTTTAATTATTGCTTTGTTTCGCTTAATCTAATAATAAAATAGTCTAAATAAAATGTTTATAGTTATTAGGGACTATATCGCAAACGTTAAAACTAAAAGATATCACTTTGGTAAGAATTAACTTATAAAATATTATCTCGCCTATTATCTCGCAGATAGGCTTAAACATAATTTAATTGTCTCTTAAAATTATTGCGCATGCTAAAATAGCGTTTCCTTAAAATTTAACCAAAAAGTGTAAAAGTGCTGTACTTAAAGTGCAGACTTTCGGTGTAGGAGGTTCTACACTTATGGTGTAGACCACAATTTGTGGTTTTGGCACATTCCCATGCCTCTGGCACTCGTAGTGCCTCAGTTCGTCTCTTGATTTATTTGCGCGTATTTTTTTTCGTCGATTTGCCGGACTTTTTCCCCGGCTTCCACTCGCTATCATTATTGGACGATTCTAATAGCGCCCGCAATTTTGTTATCCTTCCCTTGCCGATGATTGTCAATGGCCTTTCGTTTCCTCGCTGCCCGGTGTGTGTTGACGGCTGGTCCTCCGGCTTCATTATCCCGCCCAAGGTGTTTTGGCGAGACCTTAGGGATTGGCAGAGCACCTTTTTAGCGTCGGTTATGTTGCTGTTGTTTGACTTTGCAGGAGAATCTCTTTTCCGTTTTTTAGTTTGCTCTTCGATTTGTGTTATTCTTTCCTCGTCATTCGCTGTTGTTTGTTTAATGGGCGCCTTTATTTGGATGTCACTGACGACTTTTGGTTTATTCTTTTCGGTTTCTGTTTGCGCCTCGTACACTTCGCCCGGAATGACTATGTCGCCTTCTTCGATATACATCACGTCTATGCCCATGGTGTTCCCATCCATGGTGACATTCAAATTTATCGGTTTGTCGGTGGTGATGTCATCTGTGAGTTTTCTTACCGTTATCATTGACATGATTTCGTACTCAGGTTTGCCTTTGTCGTTGTATAGTGTTGTTTCGTCATAAAAATTGCTTGATTTACCTCTCTTGTGTGTTTCCTTTCTTCTTCCAATACTTCGTCTATCTTCTCTCGTGGTAGCATAGGTTCTAATACTTTCTTTCCACTTAACCTTTTGAGCATGGCTAACCTTTCTTCTTGCTCAATTTTTATCGCTTGCATCTTGGCTGCGTATGTCAAATCTATTACTAACTTGTCCTCTTCCTCGTACTTCTTCTTTCTATCGGTCTTGGATTCCATATTTGGTTTTTTCGGCTACTCAGTTTGCTACGTATTTTCACGCTGTTACGCGCCAACTCGGTCTCGTAACTGTGGCTGCCATCTTGGATTTCGGCCTTAGGGCCCCTCTTTATGTTCTCGCGCCACACTTCGCCGCGTTCACAGTGATTCTCAAAGGTCGCCTCCTGATTGGTTGTCCTTAGATCTAGTGATTTCTTTAGTTTATTTCTTATTTCTATTCTATCTTCCTTAATTTCTAAATATTTGTCACATAAATTCATAAATTTGTCGTTCTTAGGATTATTACTATTACAATATATATCTTTGTTATATGAATTGCTTAGTTTATTAATTTTTGAACTATTATTATTATTTTTGTTAAATTCAGACTGTATAATGCGCGTATCATTTATTATACTATTCTTACTATTATTTTAAGGTTTCTCGGGATTTCCTTTATTTGTAACCTCATTATCTCTATTGTAATTTAGATTATCATTTAAAATTTCTTTTTCTTTCTCTCCTTCTCCATTGTTTGACGAAATATTTAGTTTGTTGTCATACGGTTTTTTAGAGTCTATCTTTTTTATTAATTTATTCTCTAGAGTTTGTTTCTCGCTATTGTCTTTCCATTTTTCGGATAATTCTTCAAAGACTAACTTATTAAAATTATCATACGATTTATTTAAATTATATAATGTATTCCCGAAACTTTCATTTAAATCTACTTTGGCTGAATCGTTAATTTTATTTATCCAACCTTTTAAATTTTTAAATAAACTTTCTAATATACATGAATTTGATTCAATATTATCAAAATTGGTGTTGATCTTATCGTTATTAAGAGGATCTATTATTATTGTATTCATTGAAGAATCATTATTTTCTCGCGTGTCTGTTTCCTTAAATTCTGAATTCTTATTTTTACATTCCTTATTTGCTAATACGTTAACTACGTCCTTTTCTCGAGGATCTATCGTTACTGTTTCGCTCGAGGAATTAACGTCCTCCTCTGCATGAGTATTCTTAAATTCTAACTTTTCTTCTTTATTTACAGTTCTTAAACTTAAATGTCGCATAAAGTCTTTTTTATATTCTAGGTTCGCTCGCACGCTTTTTTGTTTCGTTTTTAGCTCATTGTCTCTATCATTGTCTATTTCTCGAATGTCATTATCGTTCGGTTTTAATGGTGTACTGTACTCTTTCGGATTGAAAGATTTTATTATGTTGCTTATTGCAATTGCACTCGCGACACTCTTAATACTTTTCGCATCTATTTTTTCTTTTGTATTTATTTCTACGGATTTCGCAGTATTTTTCGCAATTCTGTTCGCACTATTTGTGTCCTTTACGATTATTTTTTCGCGCACTTTTGAATCTTTTACGGATTCCTTTTGTTTCTGTCCAATTAGTTGAACTTCGGATTCGCACGTTTTTCCGCACTAACACTCTCTTCACATCGCCTCTTTTTCAGGATTGTAGGTTGTGCTTTGGCTTCTTCTTCTTGCAGCTTTCTTTTTGTCTGGCCCGACAAATGTTCACTCCATCTGGTCAATGGATGTTCCATCTGCTTCTCTCTCTCCTTGATTTTGCTGCCTATCTCTCGGCACGTGAATTTTCCCAATAGTATGCAGGGTTTATCCACGTCCAAGATCATTGCTTCCACGTTGGCTGTTATTTGGAAAATGGTCATATCCACTTTAACAGCTTTAAATCTCAGTTTTTCTCTCTTTTCAGGTAAACCGGAATATTTTTTGATTCCGCAAGGCGATCTAGTTTACGTACGTTGGTCTCAATGCTTTCAACCGCTGTACTCGAAATTACGTTAAACTCGCCCCTGTAATCGCAATAAATCTTCATTTCTTGACCCTCGGCTATTCCTGTGAAGAATGGTATGGGTCTTTCCCCAATAATCAGATTAATCAATCTCGAAATATGTCTTCTTCCTTTCTCGCTGATTAATGATTTCTTTTTTCTTTTCAGGTTTCTCCCGCTTCCGTCTCCGCTTGGTTTTGGATCATCTGTATCGCTCCGCACTGGACTCAAGGTTCGCTCTTCATCGGTAAGTATAATTTCCTTTTCTCGTTCCTTTTCGTTTTCCGACTCTCGTTGCATATCGGTAATAAACTCTTGGATTTCTCCGATTTCGATTTTCTTGAATTCCTTTGAGGTCTTTATCATGTTTACCTCGATTGGTTTGTTTAGAGTTGCCTCTCTGTGTGGTTTCAGCTGCCTGGAATTGAATGTTCCCAAAGCATTTCCTTCTAAATCTTCTACCACGTAAGCGTTTCTTCGTACCTCGTTGCGTATTTTATGCGGTCCATCGTATACGAGATGGATTTTTCGCGTAAGTCTGCGGTTCGCGTCACTTCGTCGATGAAGTTTTATCCATACTTTCGCGCCGGTTGGTACCTTTCCGCTTCTCCGTGCTTGTCGGTTTGTGCTTTACGTTGCAGTGCTCTCCTTTTCAGCATCCTCATTGCGGTATTTATTTTTTCAGTTAGGATTTCCGGTTCGTTCTGTCCTTCCTCGACGAGTGGTTCCAGCCTTGATCTACGAACAGCTGTTCGTCTTGTCCTGGATGGAGCTTGTTCGGGCTATATCCGGTACTTCGATGTGATGTCGAGTTGATAGTTTTTTCCGCTCGTTTAATGATTTGGTCCCATCTGGTTTGGCGGTCGTGTGCGTAGACGCGTATGATGCGTCCCAGCTCTCTCATCACCCTCTCCACTGGGTTGGATTGAGGGTTGTACGGCGACGTCTTTCTAATAAAAAAACCCATGTCTGTTGCAAATTCCTGCCATCTCGCCGTAATAAATTGTCCCCCCTTATCGGACAAAATTTCTTTAGGAATACCGACTCTACCGAAATGTTCCGTTTGTAACGTATCGATTATTGACTCAAGTTTTTGATTTCATAATGGATATAATTTCGTTAATTTTGAAAATTGATCCATCGTTATTAAAATGTATTTGTTTCCGCGTGGTGTCTGTGGCAAAGGTCCAAATAGATCTATCGAAATTACTTCTCCGGGTTTATTCGGCAAGACATAATATTCCGTTCCACGAGTCGGTCTCGTGAAATACTTTGTTGCTTGACAGACGCTACAGGACGCTACGACATCTCTTACAACACGTTCTAGGTTCTGTACCGCGAAAAACCTCTCTATAAACCCCGTGACTTTATCTGTTCCAAAATGAAGCAGATAATCGTGCATCCTGTTCGTGAGTTGCCATTTAACAGACTCTGGACTACGATTCTCTCTCCT